ATGTGAGGTATTGCCACGAACGTCAGATCAAGGGCAGTAATTATAGCTCTAGACCTCCTCTGTAAATCTAAAATGGTAGCTTGTAAAGGCTTTTAAAGCGTTGCCTATAGATATTAAAAATGTATGCAGTTTGTCGCCATTGCACAGGGCATGCGTAATTTTAAAGCATGTCATGTTTGGTATCTATTTACTCAGCATAGCATCATCTTTTATATCATACCAAATAATTGGCCAATATATTGTGTTTTTGTGCATTAAAATTAAAAAAAGTGTATATTTTTTCAAAAAAATTGCGTTTGAAAAATCGCTGTGTAAGTAATATGTGAGATAAAAAATTGCACCACCCACCATTTTATTTACTAGGGTGTCTGCTCTAAGAAAATATATAATGTTTTGGGGTTCACTTTAATTTCCTAGCAAAAAACAGATTTTTTTAATGTGAACAAAAAGTGTCAGAAAAGGCTTGGTCTTCAGGTGGTTAGAAGAGTGAGTGATGTGTGGCATAAACCTCTAATGCTGGGCATAAAATGCCCCCACCCCTCAAAATGACCCCTTTTTGGAAAGTAGACACCCCAAACTATTTGCTGAGAGGCATGTTGAATCAATAGAAGAATTTATTTTTTTACCACAAGTTTTTGGAAAATGAAGAAAGAAAATAAAAGTATATTTTTTCTTTTCTTTTTTTTATATTTCAAAACCTTGTGAGAAAAAATTAGATCTGCAAAATACTTACCATGCCTCTTTTTAAATTCCTTGGAGTGTCTACTTTCCAAAAAGGGGTCATTTGGGGGGGTTTGGTGCTATCCTGGCATGTCAGGGCCTCCAAAACTGTGATAGGTAGTGGGGGAAGTGAAATGAAGAAGTTACGCACCTTCAGGCTTTCAAAGTGCTCATTGGATTTCAGGCTCCTGTATGTGGCTAGGCTCCCAAAAAGTGTCAGGAAAACTCATACAAATGAGCGCAGAGAGGCCACTCCAGGTGGAAACATGTGAACAGTTAATCATGAGCTCACCACTGCTGCCTTGTTAATCATATGCATGATAAAAGAGAACTGGAAAAAAAGGCGCTGTGGAAAAATGCTCTCAGACAAGCACCTTAGTGGAGGTGCATCTTTATTGGGTGAGATAAAGTAGCAAGTATAATAAAAATTAACCAGCCTGAAGTGGACAGTGTGTCTTCCAATGGACGGCCCGTCCGCTCTGAGGGGAGCTGAGATCAAAGAAGAATGCTCCTGTCGACTTCAAATCACTGTGGTGTCAGCGTACCAGCGTCCTGGGTGGTGTCACCATGGCAAAAGCGAAGGCAGTGTCCGGCGTTGGCTTCAGCTGGGAGCATATGTGGGGGTTACCAAGACGACATGTTTCGCGCAGTTGCGCTTTGTCAAGTCGGGCCGTCCATTGGAATCACACTGTCCACTTCAGGCTGGTTAATTTTAGTCAGAAAGTGAAAGTACAAAAAATTGGTTTTTTTTTTTCAAAATTTTCGTGTTTTTTTTTGTTTATAGCGCAGAAAATAAAAAGCGCACAGGTGATCAAATACCGCCAAAAGAAAGCTCCATTTGTGTGAAGAAAAGGACGTAAATTTTGTTTGGGTACAGCATTGCATGACCGCGCAATTATCATTTGAATTAGTGCAGCGCCAAACAGCAAAAAAAAGGCCTGGTCATTAAGGGGGGTAAATCCTCTGGGGCTCAAGTGGTTAAGGCTGTTTAGAAAATGTAAGACAGACACTGGTTGGTTGCAGTTGTGTTGACTGGGGGTGAGAGATTGCATGTGTAGCAATGACAGACTTTTTCTGTCAGACACTTTACCTATGCAATTGGCCAAATTAATGCTTTTTGACCTACCATAAAATACTGTTCTTGTGACATATTAAGGGACACACGATGAGTAATTCAGTTAAATAGGGGGTTATGATGCTGCGTTCAGGTGATTTGACACTGGCAAACATATCTAGGAAGACAGCAAAGTACAACCCCTCCCATCGTTCTTCAGATTTGTAGCAACAAAATAGTAGGAGCAGGTGCCCTTTACTATACTTCAAAAATAAAATAATAATAATTTGAAGGCAAGTCAAAAATTCTATTTTCTTAGTCATACATTAGGGGACACAGGATCAGTATTTCATGTACATACAGAAATCCAAAAATAGTTGAATTGAGGGGTAGGTAACACAGTAAACAAATGTTTACATGCCCATGTAAACAAAAAGGTGGCTCACAGCCACCGGAACATTCTTACGACCAAAAGCTGGCATCAGATGAGGTCTGAACATCCACCTAGTAAAATTGAACAACATGTGAACAGAAGACCAGGTGGCAGTCTTGCAAGTCTGAGAAACAGAGACCTTATGTTGAAAAGCTAATGAAGCAATAACTGATCTACTAGAGTGTGTTTTGAAAAAAAAGTTAGAACCTTGTCTAAAGCTGGCCATACATTACTTGTTTGTTTTGCTCAATCAACTGGCTGAATGAAACAAAACTAAGCAGATTTCCCCACCACACATTCAAGGTGGATGGGGAAATCCTTCTCATTGTGTCAGATACTCCCACTGTCAGAATACACTGATCAGCACTGTAATCCACTGGCTGCCCGTGCTATTCATGCAAGGATTTTGCAACAAGCTGGCTCACTAAAAGTCAATCAATATATCAACTTTTCATGAATAGGAACATCTATATATGGATCAAAATTCATTCAGCTCCTGCTAAACTGGCTTAATGCAGATAAATGTATGACAGCTTTAATCTGTAAGTTAAAATAATGAACTTCTGAATCCACCTGGACATGGTGGAATTGCAAGCAGATTGCCCCCTACAAAAATCCTCAGCAATTGCAAAGAGTCAGTGTCTAAAAGAAGCTGTAATAGAGACAGCAGTGTGTACCACAGCGCAGAGAAATTTCCTTGAGATTCTAGGAAAAGGACAGAGATGAAAGAATGTTCTGGTTAAGGTGCAAGAAAGAACCACCTTCCAAAGAAAAGAGGTCCTAGGCATCAAAAACCCCTTATTATGACACACAGCAAAAAAGGTGGTCTTTACAGGTTAGGGACAACTCAAAACCTCTCCTTTTAGAGGTTAGGGCAACAAGGAAGGTAACATTACAGTGAAATATCCCACAAAAGATTCAAAGAGTGATTTCTAGAGAGCCAACTGAACCAGGTTGGGATCCCACAGAGACACTGGGGAAAATACAAGGGGAACATGTGAACAGTACCCTGTACAATAGCTTTTACTCTTTACCAAGGTGTGAGAGCCAAGCAGTCTTGAAAAAAAATAAATCACTAGGGCTGAGATTTGCCCCTTGATGGCACGTAAAGACAAAGACTGATCTAGTCCAGACCAAAAAAAGATAGAGAAAAGACAGGATTACAGTACTTCCTGAGATGGACAAATCTTGCCTCGCACCAGGCGTAATATGCTTTCCAGGTGTGATGGCAGACTGTGCAAGAAGTTGATTTCAAGAGCACAGACATATACTGTGGTAGGTAGATTCCAAGACATGGGCTTCAACAACCAGGCCATCAAAGCCAGCGACAGATCCTTGGAACTGAAAGTCTGTCAGAAGTCTGACAGGGTCTACAAACCATGTCTGCACTAGTTTGGAGCGATGGGAGATACCAGAATCACCCTCCATCTTGATTTCGCAGAGCAGGTGAGAAAAGTTTCAGAGAAGAAAAGAATTTGTCCTGGTAGAACTGATCCCAGGGAGTCACCAGAGCATCTGCTGTGAAGATTAGAGAATCCTTGTACCTGGAAACAAACTTGCTTAGTTTGTTCAACCTGGAAGCTAGGATATTCATGTCTGGGGTCCCCCACCTGCAACAGAGGTCTTGAAACAACCCAGGGTGAAGACTAGTTTATCTTTGAGCTGCTTCTGGCTCCTCCCTGATGGTTGTGGTAAGCCACTACTTGTGCATTGTCAAATTAAACTCTGGTTGGATGGCCTTGAATTTGCAAGGTCCAGCTCTGAATGAATAACCAAATTGTTTTGAGTTTCAGATTATTTATTAGGAGATGAACTCCTTCTGACTACTAAGTTTCTTGCACTGAAAAAGCATCCTGGACTCCTTCCCAGCTCAACAGGCTAGCATTTCTTGTGAGAACCTTCCAGACCAGTGAGAGGAAAGTTGTCCCTGACTCCTGGATTGGACTCATGAGCCACCAAACTTGGTTTGGCGGTCAGGAGCATGTGATGGTTCAGATACTAAGTCTACTTGTCCCAGCAAAATGTTGAGTTAATATCATGTAGAGTGAAACAGGGCATACGGAAGAGCTTCAAAAAGAGGTCACTAATATGCTCAGGCCCTCTTATAAAAGAGGAGGATGTGGTGTATCCAAGCACCAACCCAATGTTAAAGAGCACCCAGCTCCTCTTGTAATATGCCCTAGAAGGGTGTGGAAAGTTTATGTGCAAATTAGCTACTGCAAATTGGTGGCAAATGTTCTCAAAACCATTTTAAATAATGTCAGGGAACATTTTTTTTTTTTTTTTTAAGCACAACCAAAACGCAAAGTGTTACAGCTATAAAAACACAGGATCAAATACCAGTGTTTACTGATTAGTTTCACCCCAATATTCACTGAACATGAATAGTAAACCAAGAAACTGCATTTGCACCACTTCTAAATATCGCTCTTCATTATATGCCATATTTTTTTTCTTTACCGACTTTCCATGAATCAAACTAGATAGCAACGTTGAAGGAAAGTCACAAGTGTGATCATTACTTACATTATGGATCCTGAATTAAAATCTAATTTTCACCAATTGGTATATTTTATCTATGTCTCCAGAAGAGACCCTTCTCCCTCCCTGAAAAATGCTAAATATTAACATGCACATTGCTAGTGCAGCTCCAATTGTCACCTACAAGTGATGTTCTGTCTCAAGAAAAAAAAAAAAAAAAATCAGTCGAAAATATCCAAAGCATTGCACGTTATACAATAAAGGGAACTCCCTTAGCACCTTTAAAAAACACAAATGTTTAATTCCTATTACCTCAGACGACTTATACCCAAGCAGCAGGTAGGTGGCCATGACTTCATTATACTTCTGATTTACAAGAGAGTCCTGAATTTCCTCACGGGTATAGCCCATAGACACCATCAACTCTGCAAGTATAAAAAAAAAAGTAAATAACTTTTTACTGAATATTCTATTAATAACCAGGATTGCTTAGCAGTGATCAGAAGACTGTAGATATGTTTAACTCTCCCCCCTCCCCCAAAAAAGAAAATCACAGATACCGACATTGCTTCATTATTCTAACATTTTTTTCTACTTGCAGTATTTTAGGCCCATTATATACTTCTGAACAAGCTCTATAGCCATGCATGCTTTTAGAATAGCTTGAAAAAGTATGAAAATAATCCACTATTTGCTGCAAAGTAAACGCTAAATGCAAAATTCTGCCACAGGCAACATCTTCTTCTCCACACATAGGACTGTCCAGCTGGATTTTTATAAATAGGAAACTGGATGAACAAATAAACTGCTGCACTAAATATCAAAACACACCATGACAGCTAAAAAGAAACCACCACTGGAATTAAGTTAGGGGTTTAAAACAAGTCTGCATTTAGCATAGCAAATTGATCTCTCTTATAAACTTTTACCCGAACATCTTAATCTGTCATCTTCAGAACAAATTGTCCACAAATACCTAGTTACAGTGACCCCATAACCACTACAGAAGATCACCACCTAGCTTCACCACCAGTGATTACAAGCAACCCACAATTACAATAAATCCTGAACAAAGGCCAGAAATTACTAGACAGTAGAAAGCAGGTAAGTGAATATGGATTATACAACAGCACAAAGTTTGATTTAATATTGTATTTACAATTTAGGCATCATTACTGTCTTTAGTTTAAAATGTCCATCAAATGGAATAACTTGAGACAAGTAAAGGGGGTTTCTTATTAAATGTTTTCAATAAATTTAATACTCTGGTGCCCTGCTCCTATTCCTGTGGGAGAAAGCCAAACACTTGTGATGCTGTGACTTCAATTCATATATATCTTTCTTTAATCCAGCTTATTTGGATAGCATAAACATTTTCATGTCAAATGATTTAGAATTCTGGCAATTGAATACAAATGTAAGACCTGTCCTTCTAGGATCCTTGTAGTCTGGAACTGGTTCCACATAAGGTTTCAACTCATCGTCTTCGTGTCCCACATTCATCCAACGATCCCTCATGATTTGCTGAGAGCAGAAAGTCAAAGTATATCAGTCAGTATTTTTAAAACTGGATTGGCATTTCAAAATCTAAGTAAATGCAATCTAATATGTTGATATAAAAGACAATGTAAAAAAAAAAGAATAAAAGAAAAGCAAACGTCATACATACTTGCTCTGTGCAGAGGTTTTGCATAGAACAGCCCAGATTATCCTGCTAGGGCTCCTGGCCCCTCGCCCCTACTGAATGCACCCAGAGCAAGCAGCTTGCTACGGGAGCACGCAACCAGGCTCGCTTCCAAGCTGCTGCTCTGCATGTTCATTCACACCACAGAGCTGTGGCTTAGCCATGCCCCCCTCTCTCCTCATTGGCTAACTGGCTGCGATTGACAGCAGCAGGAGCCAATGGGGGCTGCTGCCCACATAGAATGCATGAAGGTAAAAAGCCTTGAGCCTTTACAACCACTTTAAGAACTTGATTAATGACACCAAGTTAAAGAGTTAAAGACAATGATTTTGCTGATAGAATGACCACATTAAAAAGATTATGACAAAATTTCTTTCAAGCAAGCTTGTAACTTCAGAGTATGCTCTGTGTATACACACACACACCTCTGGATGACTTGCCCCCCCCTTCATGACCTATTTTGCTATATGGCGCTGCGCTACTTTAACTGACAATTGCACGGTCAAGTAACACTGTACACAAATTAAATCATTTTTTTCACGCAAATAGAATATTGTAGTGGGTTTGATCACCACTGGGTTTTTTTATTTTTTGTGCTATAAACAAAAAAAGACCAAACATTTTTGCTACAAAACATATCCAATAAAAAAAAAATATAAAAAATTTAATTTGTTCATAAATTTAGGCCAAAATGTATCCTGCTACCATCTTTAGTACAGAAACAAAATCCAAATAAGTGTATATTAATGGTATGTGTGAAAATGACAGCATCTACAAACAATGGTATAGATACTGGATTTTATTTCTTTTTTATTTCAAATACAGTTGTGACCCAAAATTATTCAACCCCCAATGCTGTAAAGGGGTTTAGGGACTATAGTGTACATTTGGAATTGTATTCAGAATCAAATCCTACAAGGACGTTGTAACTACCCAAATGCAACTAAAATGACATCAATTGTTTATGTAATACAGTAGTAAATGGTTCTTATGTGGTTTCTTCATTGCCACAATTATTCAACCCCTTAAAGACTACCACTCTGAAGAACAGAGGTTCATACAGGTGCTTTCCATCAGGTATTGAAAACACCTGTGGATGTCACCGAGCAGCAATCAAGCATAATAAGCACCAATTAGGCAGCTTTAAAATGACTGTGATACTCAGCTCCTTCTAGACATTACTGGTGTGGTTACAAACATGGTGAAGGCAAGAGAATGGTCCAGGAAGACAAGAGAAGAGGTGATTTCTCTTCACAGGAAGGGCAATGGCTATAAGAAGATTGCAAAGATGTTAAACATACCAAGAGACACCTTAGGAAGCATCATTCGCAAATTCAAGGCAAAGGGCACTGTTGAAACGCTACCTGGTCGTGGCAGAAAGAAGATGCTGACTTCGACTGCTGTGCGCTACCTGAAGCGTAGAGTGGAGAGAAGTCCCCGTGTGACTGCTGAGGAACTGAGAAAAGATTTGTCAGATGTGGGTACAGAAGTTTCAGCCCAGACAATAAGACGCACACTGCGTAATGAAGGCCTCCGTGCCAGAACTCCCAGGCGTACCCCCTTGCTGTCTCCAAAGAATAAGAAGAGTCGACTGCAGTATGCCAAAAGCCATGTGGACAAACCACAAAAGTTGTGGGATAGTGTTCTGTGGACTGATGAAACAAAATTAGAACTGTTTGGGCCCATGGATCAACGCTATGTTTGGAGGAGGAAGAACAAGGCCTATGATGAAAAGAACACCTTGCCTACTGTGAAGCATGGTGGAGGGTCAATCATGCTTTGGGGCTGTTTTGCTTCTGCAGGTACAGGGAAGCTTCAGCGTGTGCAAGGTACCATGAATTCTCTTCAGTACCAGGAGATATTGGATGGAAACGTGATGCAGTCCGTCACACACCTGAGGCTTGGGAGACGTTGGACCTTTCAACAGGACAATGATCCCAAGCATACCTCCAAGTCCACTAGAGCATGGTTGCAGAGGAAAGGCTGGAACATTTTGGAGTGGCCATCGCAGTCACCAGACTTAAATCCGATTGAGAACCTCTGGTGGGACTTAAAGAAAGCAGTTGCAGTGCGCAAGCCTAAGAATGTGACTGAACTGGAGGCCTTTGCCCATGAAGAATGGGCGAAGATACCCGTAGATCGCTGCAAGACACTTGTGTCAAGCTATGCTTCACGTTTAAAAGCTGTTATAACTGTAAAAGGATGCTGTACTAAGTACTAAGATTGAATGTCACTTGGGGGTTGAATAAAACTGATAATGCTGTGAGCACAGAAAAGACATTTGTGGTTATTTCATTATAAACTGTTATGTTATATTTGTCTGACCTACAAGTGCCTCTTTAATGTAAATGTAAGCAAGATGACTGAATGATCAAAAGCAATGTCAAACTGGCCAAAACACTCAATTTCAGTGGGTTGAATATATTTTGGTCACAACTGTACTACTAATGACAGCGATCAGTGACTTATAGTGGGACTGTGATAGTTTGGTGGGCATTCTGACTCTAGCTGACACTGGGTGGGAACTGCCACTGACATCTCCAGGGATACTGATGCAGTGATCAGTGCTAATAAAAAGCAATGTCACTGTACGGATGACACTGGGCAGGAAGGGGTTAACATTTGTGGCGATCAAAGGGTTAACTGTGTGCCAGAGTGTTTTGTGTGTACTGTATGCTGTTTTACTATTGGATGACTCCCTGACAGGAGAGAGATCTAGGTTATTTACATTCACAGATCTCTCTCCTGTCAGTTTCTTCATCGATCGCTAGGTCCCAGCTAAGAATCATTGGCTGGGACCCAGGTATTAGCATGTAAGGGAGCCAATGACAGCGCAGGTAGGCGGGCGCGCACGTCCCCTAATATATATATATATATATATATATATATATATATAATATATATATATTATATATATATATATATATATATATATATATATATATATATATGAGATTCTGCACAGAGCTGCTGCCCTGTAGCAGTAAAGCTGCTATAGGGTGGGCAGCAAATGGTTAATCAAGATGGCAGACAACAGTGTTAGTCTTGTGAACAAAGGTGTAAAACCTGTGGATATCTACAGAAGACTTCAAGCACAGTATGTTTGAGACGCTCAGCCACAGTAAGACATCTGAATGGTGTAAACGTTGAAAAAAATGGCCATACGACCATCAGTGACGATCCTGGCCGTGGTGGTTCCCAGTCCACAACTGTCATTCCTGTGAATATTCAGCACATGGAACACCTGATCCTGGATAATGGATGCATAACCTGTTGTGAAATTGCAAATCTTTCTGTGGGATTGGTGAACACGATGACAAAGTGAAGCAGGCTGTCCTAGGATGGTTCAGGCATACTGACAAATCTTTCTATGCCGAAGCTTTCCAGGCACTAGTTCAAAGCTGGGATTAGTGTATAAATGTAGCAGGGCAGTATGTCGAAAAATAAAAGCAGTTCCCACTGTTTTATTATATATAAAGTAAAAATTCCCGGTTTAATTTGAATGCCCCTTGTATAATGTATATGCGTACACACATACAACTGTGAATAAATTTGTCGGTGACCTTCCAAAAAAGAACCACACACAATTTTCATTGAAATTACTATAAAACTGAAAATAGTAATTGCCATCCATGGTCTATTCCATATTTATTAAAATCAGACTGTTTTTTGATTTAACAGAATATTTTAAATAAAACAAAAATGGCATTATATACACAAATTACAGAACCCTTAAAAGAAGTTTGAGTTTCCAAAAAAACAAACAAACAAACAAACCAACAAACCACATATGCTCATCTAGATGGATGCAGCATAGGTCTGATGCTGCATGAGTCCCCAACCACTTCTAAGACTAACCGCTCATTTCTCAGCCTTCAGTGAGCCTGCACCTGTCAGTACCTGGCTCTCTGCCATGTCCCTCCAGCACTCATTGGAGTAGTGGGCTGTGGAGGGGGCAGAAGCGGCCAGCTGAGAGGCTAAGCCAGATTCCAGCCCAGGCATCTGGGTGACTCCCGACTTTAAAGTCAGGATCTTTCCACAGCTTGGACTGGCTGAGTGATGTCAGCTGAAAACAGGCCACAGAAGAGCACTCCTGTGATCCACAGATGTATAGCCAAAATTGTTTTGGCCATACTTCTCCTTTAAACCTAATATTTTGTTGGCTAACCTTTAGAGGCAAACAAGAGATTTCTGTAGTTCCCAGTGAAACTTTTTCACCTGCCAATAGATACAGTAGTTTGGCCCATTCTTACTGAGACAGCTTTCTGACACTGGGCAGTAAAGTTCCCTGTTAATCTTGAGATTTAGTTGTGCACAATTCTTCTTGAGATTTCTTTGTGCAAACTTCAAGACAACCCATGCCAGTTGCAGAAAAGCAGCCCCAAAACATTAACTGAGCCCCCTCCATGTTTCACAGTAGATAGTGTTCTTTTTTTTGAAAGCTTAATTTTCATCTGTGAAAATAGACTTGCCAAAAAACTCCACTTTTGTCTCTTCTGAAGGACATTCTATCAGAAGTATTGACTTGTCAATATGAATTTTAACACATTCCAGTGTAAACTTTGTAGGTTTTTCTTTTAATAGTGGCGTCCTCCTGGGTCCACTGTCACGCAAAAAGCGACAGATTTTTAAGATACAAGTTTTCATACAAGTTGACAATTTGTCTACTATTCACTCTGTCCTTTCATTCAATCTGGTGTCGATATTCCTCTTGTAGTCCTGTCCAGGGAGGCTGGCTACACTCCAAAGCACTTTAAAGTACATTTCCACTTTTGCAGTCAAATTTGAGAAAACCCCACTATGTTTGTGTTCCTAGTCACACAGCATACTTAAAAAAAATAAATAAATAATAATTACCTTTCAAATGTTTCTATGAAGAATGTGTCATGGCTGAATTCAAGAATTTTTCAACTAGCTCAACATAATATGTCACAATAGCTGGGCTAGGAACTGAGAGTCCAAGTACAATGGAGAAGCTCAGCTCCTAAACGTGTAAACCTTTTTGCATAGATAGTGTTCATATTTAACACATCATAACAGACAGTGCCAAGTAGATTTTTCCTTACTGGAAGTTCCAGAAAAGAGCATCTTAAAACTTCAGCTGCAATTTGTTTTTTGTTTTTTTTAAAAGCTATGTGAATGGGTACATTTACCAAATATAATGTAGATATCCCAATTTGGCTGCAAAAGTAGAAATAAAATAAATCTATTCATATTTACAACTGTAGTCACAAGAACGTCGAGCAGTTTCAAGTTGGTCCTATAGCCATTATCTTTGACATGCTGGTCTATAATTTTCCTCTTTCTGGTCTCCTGAGAACTCCCGCCTTTGCTTTCTCTGGCCCACGTTCAGTTTTGTGCACAGGATTAGACCAAATAGCAGCGAGATTACTTCTCTATTTAAATAGGCTGAATGACTTGATTACAAGACTGAAGACATGTGATACCAATTACATAAACCAGTTAAGCAGCCCATACATCATTTTTTTTTTCATTCAACTGACTCAATTTCTCCATCCACACACTCAATGGGGATAGGGGATCTTCCAACTGAGATACTGTATTATAGATTATAGCAGAAATACTGCTACAGGGCGGCACGATGTGCAAAATCACATACATATACACACACATATATGATTTTGCATTACCGGGTAGGGGGTGCGCGTGAGTGACTCTAAAAAGAAGCACCATCGCGCACCCAAGACACCCCCCCCACCTGTGTGTGGTGAGCGTTGACCCTGAGTCAGTATGTAAACAACGGTTGCACCATGCATGTGAGGTATCGCCGCGAACGTCAGATCAAGGGCAGTAATTCTAGCACTAGACCTCCTCTGTAAATCTAAAATGGTAGCTTGCAAAGGCTTTCAAAGAGTTGCCTATGGATACTGAAAATGTATGCAGTTTGTCACCATTGCACAGGGCATGCGCAGTTTTAAAGCATGTCATGTTTGGTATCTATTTACTCGGCACACCATCATCTTTTATATTTTACCAAATAATTGGCCAATATATTGTGTTTTTGTGCACTAAAAGTAAAAAAAGTATTTTTTTTTCAAAACCTTTTACAAAATCGCTGCACGAGTGCTATGTGACATAAAAAATTGCAGCACCCACTGTTTTTATGCACTAGGGTGTCTGCTTTAAAAAAAAATATATGTTTGAAGGCTCAAAGTAATTTCCTAGCAAAAAATACTGATTTTTTTTTTCATGTCAAAAAAAAAAAAAAAAAAAAAGTGTCAGAATAGGCTTGGTCTTCAGGTAGTTAGAAGAGGGAAAGATGTGTGGCATAAGCTTCTAATGCTAGGCATAAAATGCCCCCACCCCCAAAAATTACCCCTTTTGGAAAGTAGACATCCCAAACTATTAGCTGAATGGGATGTTTAGTCAATAGAAGAATTTATTTTTTACCACACGTTTTTGGAAAAATGCCAATTTTTAACACAAAATTGTCAGTTAAATGATTTACTGCTCACACATGCCATGGGTATATGTAGAATTACTCCCCAAAATACATTCTGCTACTTCTCCTGAGTATGGGAATACCACATGTGAGAGACTTTTTGGCAGTCTAGCCAAGTACAGGACCCCAAAATCCAATAAGCAGCGTCAAGCTTTTAAAGGGTTTTATTTCCTCATTACACTTCCTGACTACCTATCATAGTTCGGAGGCCCTGAAATGCCAGGACAGCACCAAGCCCCCCAAAATGACCACTTTTAAGAAAGCAGACACCCCAAGGAATTCGATTTTCAAAATTTTCGGTCTTTTTTTGTTTATAGCGCGAAAAATAAAAATCACACAGGTTATCAAATACCACTGAAAGAAAGCTCTATTTGTGTGAAAAAAGGACATAAATTTAATTTATGTACAGTATTGCATGACCGTGCAATTGTCAGTTAAACTAGTGTAGCGCTGTATAGCAAAAAATGGCGTAAACTGCAGTATCTATACCATAGTTTGTAGACGCTATGATGTTCGCAAGAAGCAATCAATATACACTTATTGGGATTTTTTTCCTAAAAACACATAGCAGAATACATTTTGGTTAAATTTACTATATATTTTTGATAGCCAAAAGTAAAAAAAAATATTGTTTTTCTTGAAAATTTTCAGTCTTTGTGTTTATAGTGCAAAAAATACAAAGCACACAGGTGATCAAATACCACCGAAAGAAAGCTCTATTTGTGTGGGAAAAAAAAAAGAAAAAAAGGACGTAAACTTCATTTGGGTACAGCATTGCATGACCACACAATTACTAGCTGAAATAGTGCAGCACCGAACAGCAAAGAGAGGCCTGGTCAGGAGGGGGGGTAAATTCAAGTGGTTTAAGAGCCTCTGACAGACCATTTTGCCTAAAGACAGTTAGATCATGCTGTACCTGTTTATAGCAAAACCCAATTTATGAACACACTCGTATTTCAAAGATATGAACTTTTAAAATTCCTGTACTAGTTGTACTGAAATTAAGCTTGAACAAGTTTATCTCGGATTTAGAAGAAGGAAATCCTGAAAATAAGCATTAGATGAAAGCCTGCTCTATCTTACCTCCAGTGTACCCCTCTTGCTTGGGTTTAAAATGAGGAATTTCTTTAGTAGATTTTCACAGTCCGTGGACATATAGAAAGGAATGCGATATTTACCACGCAATACACGCTCACGCAGCTCCTGAAAGAGATGGAATAAATACTACTCATTACCTTAACTGTCACCAGCTTTAGCCTTGAACAGTTTTTTTTTTTTTTTTTTTTTTTTTTTTTTAAACCAGACAATCTCAAAACACTTGGAGCAAGCAGGAATGTCTACAGCAGGTGAAATGTGCAGTAAAGAAAATGCTATTTGAAAAAGGATATCTGACCAGTAAACATTTACTATTACCTGAAATTTGGGAATGATTTATACTTATTAGAGAGCCCCTTATAGATTTATAGGTCCTATTCAGCAGCAAGAAACAAGACCCCATCAACTGGGATTAGTGAAACCTAGTGACACCTGCATTCCAAAATGACAAAATGCTGACGTTGTGTATGTAAAGTGAAATTATAGGCAAAGCAAAAGACATACAGGATGTAGCCTGTCAAAAACATGAACACTGCAGTTTTTGTTCTTCTAAGTATCCCCGTGCACTTGACCAAAAGACAGGCAGTGTAGAGAGATTTGTCTTCTTAACTTTGCAGATTGCAAACACTCTGGGGTTGAAGTGAAATTGCACCATGTTCACTAAGCTCTGGGGAAATTCCTTTGCAAAATGAACATCCTGATTGCCTTTAGTAAATCAGTCCCTTACATAATTACATCAAAGTGATCTGCTTGTTGTGCTATATATGCAATCCTTGAACACTGAGTTTAGGGCTGGTTCACACCAGTGCATTTTTTTTTCTGCATCAAAAAGGCATGGATTTGTTTAACATGGATTCCAACAGCCCTAGTTCACTACAGTACATGTTCCAGTGCTGTCAACAAAAGTAGAACACGTTGCATTTTTTTTCTGTATGGAACATGGCAAAAACCATCAAAAACGCACCGGAATGCATATGTCTTTAATTGCGATGAAGAAAAAACAAAAGAAAAAAAAAGGGGGGGGGGGGGAGTATAAAAATCATGCATGCAGACACGTATTCAGAATGCAGAAATTATGGTGTAAATCGGCCCTTACAGTAAGGAGCTCCAAGTACAAAAAAAAAAATTGTATGGGAATTTTCTTCTTGAACTTACTGGATGCAAGCATTTTGTTTTGAAAGACTTTGTACATACTAACATGCATTGACGGTTGTGCTATGTGCATTTGAACACATGATCCTCACGAACACTGTGAATTCTTAAGATTATTCAAAACCCATGAAATATTGCTGCACATTAGTTTAACAAATTGTGTATTAGATCATTTTTCTTGCCAACTGTGGCAAACCTGTAGCAACCCCATTTTGAGAAGTCTGGAATTAGAACATATTGTACCCAAGGCTTTGAAGCACAAGTACGACCACCCTGAGGCCTTACCCAACATGACATATATATCAGCAACTTGATGGCGGGAGTTTTGTAAGCCTTAAGCTGCATTCACACTTGAGGGATTTGTAGCTTGAAGTTCAAAAAACACTCAAACTTAAAAAAATCAATTGTTCTCTATGGTACGTCTACACCCCTGATCACGCAGACAGGCATCATAGAGAACAATTGATTTTTGTATTTTTTTTTTCAAGCTACAAATTGCTCAAGTGTGAATGCAGTTAGGGCAGAAGGAAAAGGTTTGGCATGCCAAAGTCCTATTCTTCCTATATTATCATGGGTTCTTAAAACGTTGTAAACAATTTGTAACATATAAAGTATAATATGCTCTATCCCTAGTGAATTAAATGGCCATTACATTTCTGAACACTTGGGTATTCATAATATATTAACATCTTACCTTACTCACATTAAAAAGCCAGCAACAATTAAGGACAATAGGGATTTGTTCCTAACATTTAAAATACCTTTAAATTTTGGCCATCAAATGGCAGGGAACCGCTGACCAATGTATACAGGATAACTCCAAGACTCCACACATCCACCTCAGGCCCATCATACTTCTTTCCTTGGAAAAGTTCCGGAGCTGCATATGGTGGACTCCCACAGAAAGTATCCAGCTTGTTTCCAAAAGTGAATTCATTGCTGAAGCCAAAATCAGCAATTTTTATATTCATATCGGAATCCAGAAGCAGGTTTTCCGCCTAAGCAAGAAGAGATGTGGGAATACACAGTATGTACACCAATAAAATTGACTGTCAAAATGAACCAGTAATAGATGGCTTTAAAGTATCTCTAGTCAGATATTTTGGGCACAGTAGGGAAAGGTTAGAAACTCTGACCAGATATTTTGTCTGTGGTGCTACTCAAGGGATTTATCCTCAGTTCCAGTCTCACCAGAGCAGAAAGTTAGAGCAAGCCTCTAACAGGAACAAATACGGTATAAAACACTTAAATGCTCTTTTTTTGCTGTTTTGGTCCCCTCTGTAGTTTTCTTTTCACTTCTTGTTAGGCCCCTGTCACAAGGTGGAAAATTCTGTTCCTATCAGCACAGAGGTTCCCTGCTGATCGGAGCATAGCGGACGGATGACACATCTATGCCTGCTCAGTTTCTGCTGAACGGACATAGACAGTGCCAACTTATTTTTTTTTTCCTAGCAGATCAGATTGGACCCGGAGGTAGGCAAATGTACACAAGTCGTTTACATCCGCCTGTCCATAGAAATTGCATGGATCTTCTGGCCAGATTTGCCTGAAAAATGAACAGGCAGACCTGATTGGATCGCCCATATGAAAGGTGCCTCAAAGTGACAAAGATGGGAAATTAACTGAAATCTCCAGCAGGAAACAGCAAGCAAACGTTGACTGAGATTCTGAGATATGGATAAAGATACACTTTAACAAAATCAGATCATCTCTTCAGTACATGTGTAAGGCTATGTTCACACTAGCTTTGTTAGCAGGCGTTTGGGAAGCGTTTTTAACGCTCCTCAAACACCTATGAAAATTCTACACATGGCAGCACACAGTGATGTTCACATTGAAGCGTTAGCGCTGCGTCGCGGCAAAATTGACGCCTCATGTAGAGTCAGGAGGAGTTGAAGCAACCCATTCAAGTCTACGGTGACGCTCCTCAAACACCTGGCAGGCATTTGTGGGGTGGTTGAGGGGCGTTTGCGGAGCGTTAATACCATTAAACTTCATTGTAGGCGTTTGTGGTGCAGTTTTAATGCTTAGCAAATGCCTTTCAAACGCCTCTAAAATGCGTATAGGGCTCTATAAAAACGCTTCCCAAACATCTGTCAAACGCTATAGGGGTGTTTGGCAAGCATTAGAAATTAGTCAAGTGTGAACAAGCCCTAACAAATGCTTTATAAAGATAAAGGGGTTGAATATACTGTAACTGCATAAAAACATAGCTGATCGAAATAATATCAGTAAATTCTTTATACACACAATTTTATGGATATATTTTACAGAAGCATTAACCTAGCAGACTGCAAGTGGGAACACAAAAACAGGTCAGATGGTGGTCAATGGCAAGCCGAGTGAATTTATCAGTGAACTAATGTCATATGCAAGTGGAAAGCACCTGAAAGCAATCTGAGTGTACCCATCAACACTAGCTCTATTACAATTCCTTTATTACTTTATAAACCAGTGCTGGAAAATTTTTAAAGCAACAGCTCTACTGATCTCCAGAAAGCACTATTTCTCAATGTAACATGATACAGGTCTGCAGTGAGGACACCATTACTAAGCGTCCTTTCACACGGGTATCATCAGTTCAGTCACGTTTTTTGCTAAGAAAAATCTGATGAATGCCGATTCAGGTTACATCCGTTTGCACATCCGTTTTCAGCTCAGTTGACATAACTTTACATCATTCTTTTTTTATGCTGCTGAAGAAACTAGTCATAGGTAACAAAAGTATAAGCCCTATAAATCGCACAGGAAGGCCCATTTCACACAGGTGCTCAGTCTAGAGCCATCGGTCAGTTTTTCAGATGGATCCAGATTGAACCACAATGTAGGTCTATGGGTGAGTGGATGTAAATGGATGATCAGCTGTTTACATCCATGTCCATTTTTTTTTAATCAGAACAGCCAAATGCCCAGATCCAATAAAACAAAACAGAACAAATGTAAACGGATGCCATCTATTTACATCCATTCTGTTTATGTAGGTTTTTAGACAAGAAAAGTTTTATGCTTATACATTTTTGTCACCTCTGATTGGTCTCTGCAACAACTAAAAAGCAGATGCAAAGATGGATGTAGACTGATGTAAACTGAACTGCAAACTGATTTAAACTGAATTGAAAACGGATGTGCAAAACTAAATTTGTTTTTTCTTTGAAATACATGACTGAATGGATGATTCCCATGTGAAAGGAGTATTCCTGTGCGTTTCATTGCAGTGCAATCTGAGCCTATTCATTTTGAATGGGCTCAAATCGCACTACCTCAGACAAATAGTAGTGCATGAACTATTTTTGGAAAAGCACTGCAACCAGGTCGCATAGTACTTTCGCATAGTACTTTCGCATAGTACCATGCACAGTATTTGTGACCTGCGTTTGGGGTGTTAACTTTACAATGACACCTGCTGCAGATTTAAACGGCAGTGTCTTTTGAAAGTGGCCTGGGGAATGCAAATGGAACGCAAATTTCCCGCACCACTTTCTAGATTGAACCTAGCCTAAACAAAGGTTTCTTGCCAAAAAAACTAACAAATGTGGCGGACATAAACAGACATCCATTTATGTCCACACAAAAAAAAAAAAAAAAAAAAAAAAAAAAGGTAAAAAAAGGTAAAAAAGACACAGACGGTTTCCGTTCTTTTCTGCAGACATAGCCTGGCTTGGATGTAAATGGATGTGCATCCATTGACATATGCCCGCCCATAGAAAAAAAACATTGTGATTCAGTCTGCATCTCTCTGAAAAACTGACAGACAAATCCAGACTGAGCGCCCATGTAAAAGGGCCCCACAGGGTGCATTAAAACAAACTCTGGTGACTGAAAACAGACTGTTTAAAATGTAATCTGGAAAAGAGGTTACATATGAATATAGTGAAAATCTACAAAGATGCTGGATATGGAGTCATATAATATCTATTATTTTCTCTTGCTGTTTTACATCATGCCTCAACTTGAGTCAATAATGGAGCTCCCTGGGTCAAAATTAGCAGAGCATCTTTATTACAAAAGGGCATATATAGCAAAATTTCTGAATATTTTTTTTTTTTTTTTTTAAATTAATGATTGGTCACTTAACTGCACAGTGCATTGCATGGCAGAATTGTTAGAGGACATAATTCCATAAGAAAAATCACTAGAAAACACAAAGTAAAAAGACATGTAACAATACCTTTGCATACACGAATAATTTCTTACCTTTAAGTCTCTGTGTACGATAAACTTTTGGTGACAATACTGCACAGCAGAAACAATCTGGAAAAAAAAAAAGTGACATGTAAACCGAACCGTCACCAAGGACTGAAGTAACGATATTAGTTTGTTTCTGCTTTCAAAGTGGTGTACATGGCAAGTTCAATCTTGTAGTTAAGAGCATATTTTTTCAATGCAACACTGCAATTATACCAGACTCCTATACAAAAAAGCCAACAGTACACTTCTATTCTCCCAACCTTGCAATAAATCAAAAACTTGTCATTCATATCCAGGACTATGGTTCAAAAAAATCTCTTAAAAGAAGTAATGTGTGCTTCCCCCAAAATCTAGTTAAGGGCTCATTTACAAAGCAATAGCGGTGTTCAATATGCAGTTCTGAGTGTGTGTATACGTGCATTTTTAATGTGTAATGTTTTTTACCAAGTTGCAATTAAATTTGTTTGCTTTGTGTTTCAGCATGTTTACGTGCAATAAAAAAGTAGGATGCTGGGGGGGTTTTTTTGAGGGGGGTTTAAGACATCAAGTCACCATCCCTGACAGCTTGCAGTGGGGAGATGGAACTTGACCTGTCAGAAAACACTTGCCATGGTGCACCATTTTATTCCCCTCCACAAAGTACTTTGCCCCCATTCCTCCCCAAGACATCAGCGACATATAAAAATATCCACATGGTAATACAGTAGCCGATAGACCTGCCAGTGACTTCACTTGCCCTCTTTTCCTTGCTCTCCTGTGGATAAGCAATGAGGCTGGGGAAGGGTGTACAGCAAGAAGCTAAGCTACTGCTGATCTGAACTACCAGAAATCTGTGGGTGTGGAGGGTGGTATGCTGCAAAGGATCAGAATAGCTGGGAACGTGCATACAGATTTTGCTTTCGGAGTTGCTGATAGTCTATCATTCGTAAACTGGTGCTGCAGGCACTGTCATAGACTAGGCCAAATCACACCCAAAACCACGACACATTGGGATTGATTTACTAGAACTGAAGAGTGCCAAATCTGGTGCAGCTGCGCATGGTAGCCAATCAGCTTCTAACTTTAGCTTGTTCAATTATACTTGACAAAAAAAAGCAAAAAAAAAAAAAACCTTGAAGCCGATTGGTTTCTGTGCAGAGCTGCACTAGATTTTGCACTCTTCAGTTTTAGTAAATCAACTCCATTATTTTAGATTGCTTGGGAGATGTGGTACAGAAGTGGAGGTGTGAAGAAATGTAAATCACTGTACACCGCACCTGCTTTCCGATTCCGCTGACGAAGTTTGCATGCCCTAGTCTAGAAAGATTTATTGCCTTAACAGTGACAGAGTGGAAAGTAACTGACATATTTAAATAATCTTTCAGACATGCGGAAAAAATATTTGTAGAGAAAAAGGAGTATACTTATGAGCTATCAGAGCCATTTTAAATTTTTTGTACACATAACATACAAATTGTAGGTCTGAAGATTACCTAAAACACCCAAAACATTTTCCAAAAGCGGGAGACCCTGTACAATAAAATGGCAGTTGCAATTTTTTCTCTGTCACACTATAGTTATACTACCGTTTATCAGTCTACGTTTCCAGTAAAAAAAAAAAAAAAATGAATTATTGCACACAAAGCGCTATACCATATTTTCTGTTAAAATATAAAAGATGAAGTTGCATTGAGTAAATAGATGCCAAATATGTCCAGTTAGAGAAGTGATTTTCTACATGTAGAAAGCTACCTGATTTACAATAAAGACAGCAACCAGAACTAAAAAGCAAACTCCTGGCTCTTATAGCAGCTGGGAAGCTGTTTACATGCTGGCGCTGCTGCAGTCTTTAATTTTTAAAGAGCACAAACCAAAGTACAACTTCTCCTTGGTGCTTCTGCAACTGGTGCTTCAAAAGGAAAATGAAAAACAAAGTTCCTACATTTTCTTTTGCTGGTCATAATCACTAAGAGAAAATCACCCACTATCATTGGAAATTGCAATATATTACTGCTGCATTTATCTGTGGCACTGCACACTGGACAAATAGAAAATGATTTGTGTGAATTCAGAAATGTTTTTCATTTCCCTATTATCCTGTGGGCAAGCGCACAGTGTTCGTGACCACACTGTCAATATACAGCACATATCACAGGCAAACATTAAGCCTGGTGTCTCATCGATCGACTTTGGTACAAGCAGCCTGTCAGATTTTTTTACATGCGATTGCTGCTGGCTGCTATAGCAACAGTAATCGTGCTCTGCAGGTCAGGAAGACTCCCTGCTTGCAGAATAAAATAGCGCGCGCGCAAGAGGGATTCCCCCCTATCAACACGGTCAGTGTGGTGGAAGGAAAGAAAATCGAATCATCTATGGTTTGCTAAAGAGAGGTAAATAGAGTACCTCTGGACCGTGTCCACCAACTGAGGTCGTAGCAAACTCTCCCCTTCCTTTATAAGAACAAGGGGAGAGCTAGGTGACAAGACACAACCAGTGTCACAAGTATTTCAAACGTTGCTAATCAAAGCCAGGGTTTCAAAGGTTGATAATTGCAGTTAGTGTCACAGCTAGGGTTTCCAAGTTTGCTAATTATTTTCCATGCCCTTATTTTCAGCACTGCTGATCACAGCCAGTGCTTCCAACACTGATGGTTACAGCCAGTGCCAGGATATCCAAAAATGCGATTGGTAGTCAGAAAATCCGCTGCTAGGGAAAGAGAAAAAAAAAAAAAGCACCCCCATACTCCAGAGGAGCAGCAGAATGTGTTTGGGGATATAATTGTAAGTATGCCCACGCTGTGTGTAAGAAATAACAGCTAAATGATAGCTTTGGGGGAAAAAAAAAAAAAAATCAAAGCTCTTCTTACAGGATTAGGTCTGATGTACTCAAGTTCTCTGCCATGTGCTCATTTGTGATCTGGTATGTCCAAGGGTACTACTTTTTTCTTATTTATTATTATTATTATTATTATATATAAATATCCCTAAATTTGACAAGGCACACAACACTTTTGGTTTATGTTTCCATAGTTTCTCCAGTCATTATACTCTAATTAAATGGGCTCTGAATGCTGTATAGCAGACTTTGTCTTATCTATGCATTTGACTAGGTGCATGTCTGTCAGAATATATATTGTTAGTTAATTCCTATTATATGCTGGCCATACCAATAAAAAAACTCTAGTAAAGTTAATTTACTTTTGTCATATTCTGAAAAATTGTGGCAAAAGGAGATCTTTAAATTATTCGATATGCCTTTTACCAAATACTTTAGAGTTGTCTACTTTCCAAAAAGGACTAATCTTGGGGGTCTTTGCAATGTCTCGGCTATTTAGCACCTCAACAAATGCGATATGCAGTCACAAAATCAGGGTTCATAAAAAAAAAAAAAAAAATTATATATGTATTATGATATCTATATACACACACACACATATATATATATATATATATATATACACATATATATATATATATATACATACATACATACATATATATAAATAAATATAATCACACATACATATACACACACACACACACACACACACACACACACACACACACACACACACACACACACACACACACGGAAATAAGTATTTGATCACCTGCTGATTTGAATGTTTGCCCACTCACAAAGAAATGATCAGTCTAAAAATCGAATGGTAGGTGCATTGTAACACTGAGAGACAGAATAGCAACAAAAAATTTAAAAGAAATGCATGTCTAACAAATTATGCACTGATTTGCATGTTCATGAGGGAAAAAAGTAATTTGATCCCCTTTGCAAAACATGACTTAGTACTTGGTGGCAAATCCCTTGTTGGCAATCACAGAGGTCAGACGTTTCCTGTAGTTGGCCACCAGGTTTGCACACATCTCAGGAGAGATTTTGGCCCACTCCTCTTGGCAGAGCCTCTCCAAGTCATTATGGTTTGGTGGCTGATGTTTGGCAACTTGAACTTTCAGCTCCCTCCAGAGATTTTCAATTGGATTAAGGTCTGAAGACTGGCTAGGCCACTCCAGGACCTTAATGTGCTTCTTCTTGAGCCACTCCTTTGTTGCCTTGGCCGTGTGTTTTGGGTCATTTTCATGCTGGAACACCCATCTACGAGCCATTTTCAATGCCCTGGCTGAGGGAAGAAGGTTCTCACCCAAGATTTGATGGTACATTGCCCGTCCATCGTCCCTTTTATGCGGTGCAGTTGTCCTGTCCCCTTAGCAGAAAAACACCCCCAAAGCAGAATGTTTTCACCACCATGTTTGTCAGTTAGGATGGTGTTCTTGGGGTCATAGGCAGCATTCCTCCTCCTCCAAACACGGTGAGTTGAGTTGATGTCAAAGAGCCTGATTTTGGTCTCATCTGACCACAACACTTTTAACCAGTCCTCCTCTGCATCATTCAGATGTTCAGTGGTAAACTTCAGATGGGCTTGGACATGTGCTTTCTTGAGCAAAGGGACCTTGCGGGCACTGCAGGATTTCAATCCTTGTCGGCGTAGTGTGTTACCAATTGTTTTCTTGATGCACCAGACCTAGGGAGACTCACAGTTGTTTTGTTTCTTCCATTTACGAATGATTGCACCAACTGTTATCACCTTTTCACCATGCTGCTTGGCGATAGTTTGGTAGCCCAGTACAGCCTTGTGTAGATCTACAATCTTGTCCCTGACATCCTTGGACAGCTCTTTGGTCTTTGCCATGGTGGAGAGTTTGGAATCTGATTGTTTGATTGCTCCTGTGGACAGGTATCTTTTATACAGGTAACAAAATGAGATTAGCAGCACTCCCTTTAAGAGACTGCTTCTATTCTCAGCTTGTTACCTGTATGAAAGACGCCTTGTAGCCAGAAATCCTGCTGAATAATAGGGGATCAAATACTTACTTCACTCATGAACATGCAAATCAGTGCATCATTTGTTAGACATGCATTTAGTTTGAATTTGTTGCTATTCTGTCTCTCAGTGTTACAATACACCTACCATTCGATTTTTAGACTGATCATTTCTTTGTGATTGGGCAAACATTCAAAATCAGCGGCGGATCAAATACGTACTTTCTTCACTATATATATATATATATATATATATATATATATATATATATATATATATATATATACATACATACATACATACATACATACACACACACATAAACAGGTCCATATATATTTGGACATTTGGACACAGGCACAATTTTAGTTTTTTTTTTCAGGTACAAACACATATTCAAGCCATAGTTCTATAATGGATATGGTCTGAAAGTGCACACTCTCATGTTTAATTTGAGGGTATGTACATCCAAATTGGAGGAAGGGTTTGGGAATTACAGCTCTTAAAAGTAGCCACCCCCCCCCCATTTTCAAGGCACCAAAAATAATTGGACAATTGAATCAAAGACGAATTTATGGCCAGGTGTGGGCTACTTCTTCGTTATTTCTTCATCAATTAAGCAGGTAAAAGGTCGGAAGTTGATTCTAAGTGTGGTATTTGCATTTGTAATCTATTGCTGTGAACCTACATCATGCGTTCAAAGAAGCTGTCTATGCAAGTGAAAAACAGACCATTGTAAGGCTTAAAAAACAAAACAAATCCATCAGAGAGATAGCAGCAACATTCGTAGTGGCCAAATCAACAGTTTGGTAAATTCTGAGGAAAGAACGACACACTGGTGAGCTCAGCAACATAAGGCAGGGACATCCACAGAAGACAACATTGGTGGATGATCACAATTAAATATGGTGTACCCTTCCCTTATTCACAAACTTCCCCAAAACGCATATAAACACTTAAACCCCAATAAAGTGTAATAATCTTATGAAGTATGCTTAGTATCCCAAGTATATAAATACAAATAAACCCCCTAGTGCAAAATAATGACAATTAAATACGGTGTACCCTTCCCTTATTAACAAACTTCCCCAAAACACATATAAACACTTTAAACCCCAAAAAGTGTGATAATCTTATGAAGTATGCTTAGTATCCCAAAGTATAAATACAAATATAATAAGTGCTCTAAACAAAAGACCCACAAACAAAGAACAACTGAAGACAGCTGCAGTTAGAGCCTGACACAGCATCAGAAAGGAGGAAACCCAGTCTTTGGTAATGTTCATGGGTTCCAGACTTCAGGCAGTCATTGCCAGTAAAGGATTCTCAACAAAATATTAAAAATGAACATTTTATTTATGATTATATTCATTTGTCCAATTACATTTGAGCTCCTGAAAATGGTTGCAGTTTCTAAAATTTGTACTTTATATGTTTAACCCCTTGAAGTAAAGCTGAAAGTCTGCACCTCAAATTCATTTGGATTGTGACACTTTAATTTATTCTGGTGGCATGCAGAGCCAAAATTATGAAAATTGACCAAATATATATGGACCTAACTGTATGTACACACACACACACACACACACACACACACACACACAGACACACACACAAATATAAAAAGTCTACACACCCCTATTAAAAATGTCAGGCTTCTGTGATGTAAAAAAATGAGACAAAGATAAATCATTTCAGAACTTTTTCCACCTTTAATGTAACCTATAGACTTTACAACTCAGTTGAACAACAAACTGAAATCTTTTAGGTGGAGGGAAGTAAAAATAAAAAACTAAAATAATATGGTTGCATAAGTGTGCACACCCTTAAACTAATACTTTGTTGAAGCATATTTTGATTTGATTCCAGCACTCAGTCTTTTTGGGTATGAGTCTATCAGCATGGCACATCTTGACTTGACAATATTTGCCCACTCTTCCTTGCAAAAACACTCCAAATCTGTCAGATTGGAAGGGAATCTCCTGTGCACAGCCCTCTTCAGATCACCCCAAAGATTTTCCACAGATTTAGGTCTGGGCTCTGGCTGGGCTATTCCAAAACTTTAATGTTCTTCTGGTGAAGCCATTCCTTTGTTGATTAGGATGTTTGCTTTGGGTCATTGTCATGCTGAAAGATGAAGTTCCTCTTCATGTTCAGCTTTCTAGCAGAAGCCTGAAGCTTTCGTGCAAATATTGACTGGTATTTGGAACTGTTCATAAATTCCCTCTACCTTGACTAAGGCCCCAGTTCCAGCTGAAGAAAAACAGCTCCAAAGCATGATGCTGCCACCACCATGCTTCACTGTGGGTATGGTGTTCTTGTGGTGATGTGCAGTGTTGTTTTTTTGCACCAAACATGTCTTTTGGAATTATGGCCAAAAAGTTCAACCTTGGTTTCATCAGACCAGAACTCATTTTTCAACATGCTTTTGGGAGATTTCAGATGGGTTTTTGCAAAATTTAGCTGGGTTTGGATGCTTTTCTTCATAAGAAAAGGCTTCCGTCTTGCCACCTACCCCATAGTCCAGACATATAAAGAAAACGAGGAGATTGCTGTCACATATACCACACAGCAAGTGCTTGCCAGATATTCCTGCAGCTCCTTTAATGTCGCTGTAGGCCTCTTGGCAGCCTCTCAGACCAGTTTTATTCTCATCTTTTCATCAGCTTTAGAGGGACGTCCAGTTCTTGGTAATGTCACTGTTGCACCATATTTTCTCCACTTGATGACGGTCTTCACTGTGTTCCGTGGTATACCTAATGCCTTGGAAATTATTTTGTACCCTTCTCCTGACTGATACATTTTAACAATGAGATACCTCTGATGATTTGGAAGCTCTCTGCGGACCATGGCTTTTGCTGTAGGATGCAACTAAGAAAATGTCAGGAAACACCTACTAGAACAGCTGAACTTTATTTGGGGTTAATCAGAGGCTCTTTAAATGATAGCAAGCGTGTACTGACTCCTATTTAACATGAGTTTGAATGCGATTGCTTAATTCTGAGCACCACTACATCCCCAGATATAAGAGGGTGTGCACAGTTATGCAACCACATTATTTTAGTTTTTTATGGTTACAGAAGGTTTGCTGTGTCTCCCAGCACAGTCTCAAGAGCATGGAGGAAATTCCAGGAGAAAGGCAGTTACTCTAGGAGAGCTGGACAGGGCCGTAGAAGGTGCTTAACACATCAGCAGGACTGGTATCTGCTCCTTTGTGCAAGGGGGAACAGGATGAGAACTGCCAGAACCCTACAAAATGACCTCCAGCAGGCCACTGGTGTGAATGTCTCTGACCAAACCAACAGAAACAGACTTCATGAGGGTGACCTGACGTCCTCTAGTGGGCCCTGTGCTCACTGACTGGCACCACACAGCCTGATTGGCTTTTGCCATTGAAAACCAGAATTGGCAAGTCCACCACTTGTGCCCTGTGCTTTTCACAGATGAGAGCAGGTTTACCCTGAGCACATGTGACAGACGTGAAAGGGTCAGCATGACCGTTTTGATGGTGGGTCAATAATGGTCTGGGGATGCATATCCATGGAGGGACGAACAGACCTCTACAGGCTAGACAATGACATCTTGATTGCTATTAGGTATTGGGATGAAATCCTTGGACCCACTGTCAGACCCTACGTCGGTGCAGTGGGTCCTGGGTTCCTCCTGGTGCAAGACCATGCCTGGCCTCATGTGGCAAGAGTATGCAGGCAGTTCCTGGAGGATGAAGGAATGGATACCATTGAATGGCCCCCTGACCTAAATCCAATAGAACACCTTTGGGATATCATGTTTTGGACCATCCGACGCTGCCAGGTTGCACCTCAGATTGTCCAGAAGCTCAGTGATGCCCTGGTCCAGGTCCGGGAGGAAATACCCCAGGACACCATCTGTTGTCTCAATAGGAGCATGCCCAGACGTTGTCAGGCATGCATACAAGCATGCGGGGGGCCATACAGGACTACTGAGTACCATGTTGGGGTGTCTTTGAATTCAGTCCTCCGTAGGTTGATAATTTTCAGTTCCATTAAATGATGGGGCATCCTTACGTTCCTAACACATCACACACACACACCATAATTTATAGGAGTTAAAACATTCCCACAGACTAAATAATACACACTTACAGGGCTTTTACCAAAGAACGCAACAGAACACATATTGGTCTAAATGTATGAAGAACATTTTTTTACATAGGTTTTGTAAAACAGAAAGTAAAAAAGGAATTTGCTTTGTTGAAAATCTTAAATTTTTTTCCCTTTAGAATAGAATGAAATTAAAACCCAGCGATTATTATATACCACCAAAAGTAAGCTCTGTTTCAAGAAAATGATATAAAATTGATTTGAGTATAGTGTTGCATGAGTAATTGTTAGAGCTGTATCAGAGGTTTACTTTACTTACTAAGCTCAGTGAACAGTGAGAGTTTTTTTTTCCACTTTTACTACTAAACTGCTTAAAAGATAGGTTCACCATTAGTAGCATGTTACACCCCTATTTATGGTGTAAGATGTGTTACTATGCAGCAGCCTCCCTCACTCCATGAGACAAGGGGTGGGGGTTTCTCTCCCCCACAGCTGCTGTCACATTTTAAAATCAATCTGTGAATAAGATTTGTGAATTAAAGAATCACATCTTGTCTGCCACCACAGCAGATGACTTAGTATTCAACAGACTGCGAGGGGACTGGTCAACGCCCTTGTAGCCATTCACTCTTCCTGCAGCTCTGAAACTAACAGTCTGTACTGAGGTATGGGCACAGAGCTATAGGAGTCTGACATCACACCTGTGGTCCATTTATCAAGGGTGCAATGCTCTGCAGGCATCTGAAAAAAAGAAATAACGCACATTTGTTTACCTTCAAAAATATGTGCATTTATTTTTTTTAAAACGGGAACTTAGCCCTTGAGGACACAACGACCTCAGATTCACTGTAATTCATTGTGAAAGTTTATAACCAGTAGTGCAGGTAAACAGACATGACACATGCCAGATTAAACAACATGCTAAACCCACCTGCCTAAACTTTGCACGGGCCTCCTTTTCTTTCATTCTTCCATGAGCAACCAAATAATCAAAAACTTCACCTAAAAAGAGATTATGTAGTTAAGTAAATAAACAGAACGGGAGTTGAGACTTTCATGCTAGTAAATGTTTCATTGAAAATCACAATCAACATACATCATGGAGTAAATATCTAAATGAATTCAATACAAAAGTAAATCTGTAAAAGAAGTGCTCATTACAGGGGGGAGGTCCTCTTGTCTAGCAGCACCAATGCCTCTTAATTGTAATAGAATTACCCTATTCTTGGGTTGGACAAATGGTAGTTGCCAGGACAACTGGAAAAATCCCCCTGGCTTCTGTAATTAGCGCCATCACTCTGCCATCAGGACATACCCCTTAGGGCCAACGCTGTGGTACTCCATAGACCATAGTGCAAATGATGCATCTGGAGGCTGCTCTGGCACCCCACTCTCTGCTCGGCAGTATAACCAGCTGGATGAACAATTTTTTGTCCAGGCTTGTATTAGCTTTTAAGTAGCGTTTAGGAGCATCAGCATTTTACAAGTACATATAGGTGGAAACATTTTTTTTTTAAAAAAGCTGTTAGAAGTATTTTGGGAGCATTCAGCATTTTTCTGCTGGAAAAACACTCCCAAAAACTATTTTTTTTCTGCTCCTAAACGCTGAAGCTTGAAAAACGCTACTAGCCCAAAATAATGTGCCTTGACACATAAGAGAACACTATTTAGCTTCTAGCAGCAGAAAAAGAAAATGCTGATAACAGCTTCTAGGAACTTGAAAAACCGCTAGTGTGCATGGAGCTTTAGAGCCGTATATGCCCAGGGACAAATTAATTGAACACAAGATGTCTGCATTCCGGACATTCGTCCCTGGACACATACGGCCCTAAAAACGTTAGTACCACTCAGTGCACCGCCCAGCCATTGCATTTTTTTTGTCTCCCATACCGTTTAACAGGCTGCTGGCAGCAGGACTGGACTGTGAACCTGTGCCTTCCACCCACACAGGCTGTACACCTAGTGTTAATGTGGCCTTAAAGCACATAAGGATGCATAGTCTTCTATGCAAGCCACCTCTAGGGTATATGTAAATGGGTAAAATGCACACAGCAGAACTGGGTTAGCTTTGTCTCCAGCTAAAAAGAGACTGAAGCTTTGGTTGGTACTGGGTTTCATCCTAATGCTTCTTGATGCATCCTAATCCTGAATGTAAGCACATGTGCTGGGCACCCAAGTCTGTTCAGGGCACATTGTAGTAGCCCTAAAGCTGTGATAGTCAATATATCAGCTAAAAGGGGGGCTCAAATGTGGCCCCTGACATCACCAAAGGGCTTGCTTCAATGCTGAGTTACTGATGCAGTCATTGGACAAAAGCATACTGTAAATGAATGTCCGAAAAGCATTAGAACTGACCTCTATGCGTGTTTTCGGTCAGAGACTCAGACAACACTGAAGCCAAAGTATTCTGAAAAGACTGGTTAACAAAGGCACCCCCATTCTCATGACAGAGTCATTTAGGTCTGTTCAAACCCACCATGAATAGCAAGCAGTGATAACAGAACGTAACAGTTTTGTTTCCCATCAAAAAGGATTTTTTATATTTGGTAGAACTGTAAGCACATCATTTTGAGAAAAGAAGATTAAAAAAGACAAGAACAGTAATTTTAAAAAATGAAAAGCAGTCCTCCCTAAAAAAGCAATACTTACATGTCCCGCTGCCTGCGCTACCAAACTTCTCTAGGTTGAAAAGCAAACCTTGCTCAAAGATCTTCAGCATTCTAAACTTCCCAAGTATCAGATGACTGGTTCCCCATTGTGCATTGCAAGGGAAATGCTCCTGGTTGAGCACAGAAGATCTTTGAGCAAGCTTCGTTCTTCAACCAAGGGGAGTTTGTTGGCAAGGAAGGAGTCATTTAAAATTGTACCGATTACCTACCAAAAACATTTTCAGTAAGGTAGAGAAAGGCTAGAATCTGTAATTTTATTTATTGTTGTCTGTCCCTTTTGAAACGTTTCCCTCAAACTGTCTTGCCACCATGACATTGAGGTAATGTCCCTATTGGCACAGCAGTAAAAACCTGCCAGGGGATTGAATCCAAAAAACGTAACCTTTAGGCTGGACAAAGTTTGATATACAACTCTATCCACTACATACTGTACATTCACCAGTGCTAAAAATACTCAGCATTGTTATCAATGTCCCTTACATTTTTCATCATAAAATTTTGATATTTATACTGAAATCAGTTGATTGATAACCTGTTATCCCTGACTTTCACCATGCCTCTCAAACTCGTGTATATTTCATATAATAACCATTCATGTGCATAAGAATCAGTCACTTAGTGCCCCCTGGTGGTATTCTATTCCTATGTATGTGTTTTTTTTATGAATGAAAGCCAGCATAGAAAGCATTTTGCATTTTAAAGTGAACCTGTGCCCACACTATGGGCATTAAATAATTTACACAATCTTAACAAGCAATTAAGCCCCATTCACATGTTCATTGGTGTTGCATGTTCTGGGAACGCACACAGAAACACAAAACATGCTAAGCACTTGTAGAGCCATGAATTGTTAATGGCACCAAAAACTCAGCTAGGAAAGATGAACGCATTCTGTACACAGTTTGTGTATAGAACATCCCCAAAAACTTAAAGTGTTACTAAACCCACAACAGTAAAATCAGTCTGTATATGCAGTAAAGCATGCTTGTTATACTCACAATGGAACCTAAGGGGTTAATTCTCTGCATTGACTGTTTGATCCTGACTTCTCTGATCCTCCCCCTCTTATCTTCTGATAAAAGACACCCCGCACATGCTCAGTCTGGTGTGTATTGCAAGAGGGGTTTTTTTTTTTTTTTTTAAATCTTGGGAGTGCATGTGATCTGCACAGGGCCAATCAGCACTGTCCAGACAGAGGTCAGGGGTTTTTTACATCCTCCTACAGCAGAAAGAAAACTCCTCCTACAAGCTTTAATCAGTGCTCGGCTGGACACTGATAGAAGTCACAAGACTGCTAACGAGCTAAAATGTAGTTAGTAGTTTATATTTACTAAAATAATTGCATTTCCATGTTCTGTGTACTGTGGGAGACCAGATATAGTGAATACAGGGTCATGGGTATAGTAACGCTTTAATTTAATTTTGCGTGATTTGCTCACAGATTTTCCCAGAATGTTGCACTAAGATACAAGACTGCAACAAAAAAATTCAGTTTTGGTGAGATACTCCCAAAGGGTTAATCATTTCTAAAGGATTGTAGACCCCGACACTTTCCTCATAAGAACCCTGCAAGTGCATTAGCTGTTAAAAACTGAAATAGCCACTCCCATTCAGATTCACTTTGCACAGGGACACAAATATGCAGCTTTTTCTTGTGTCACAAATCAGAAACGGGTAGGAATCTGCAAAAGTCGGGTAAAATCCTTGCAATGTACAGTGTTCACTCAAAGAGGAATGATTTTTTTTTTTTATTAAACAAAAGTGGTGTTACTCTTTAAATTGCTGTGTCCCTGCTGGAAAGATTCTGCTCACACTTCCTGCCCCACTGAACGTAGGTGAGGTCTATGCAATGGACACACTGCAATGAAAACCTAAAATGAGGTGGTAAACCTTCTCCCCCACTAGTTAAAAAAAAAAAAAAAATACAGTACTTAACCTATAATAAACAGATCACAGCCAAGTAACGTATGCAGGTCATTGATTTTAGTGGGTTCATAGAAATCAATAAGAACTGACAGACAAAACAGAAAAAAAAACCCCCACAAACCTCCACTTGCATATTCCATTACCAGGTACAATGTCTTCTCTGTTTCTATAACTTCAAATAATTTTACTGGAAGAAAAACACATCAAAATAATTAGAAAAAAAAACAAGGATATAAATACAAGAACTTCCTTCACAGAATTTAACTACGTTGTGGCAATTTTGTAATTTTTCACACATTAACATTTTTGCTTGAAATTACATAAAAACTCCAAAGCAAGTACATATTTTCCGAAAGCAGAAGCCCTGTAGAGTAAAATGTTTGTAGTTGCAATTTTATGTTGCTTGATATTTGCAAACGGGTTACCAAATACATATTTTAAGTAATAGATACACAAAAGTGAATTTTAACCCCTTTGCTTCCACTGAAGTAAGGCCTATGACTGATACAGGGTGGTGTGTGTGTGATAGATTACACACACACACACACACACACACACACACACACACACACTCCCTTCACCCCAGCAGGTTTCTTGGGCTTTGCTATCCCACCTGCAGCTCAGAACCTGCATGGCGTGTCACCGGGAGGAGAGGAGGGAAATCAGCACAAGTGCATTCACTGATGTTCCCTAGCTTGAAAGAACCTGGATGCGCATGTATTTATGCCACTTCTAGTTTCAGCTGTCACTTTCTCTTGTTGCTGGGAAGGAAGCTAAAAAAAGGACAATCTTTGATATCTTATTAAAGATAACCTGCCAGACAAAATGCCATTACAATAGGGAGAGGTTATCATATCAATAATTAAGTGAAAAATGTATGTGTAGCTATTCACTGATTGTTAAAGGACACCAGCAGGTGCGCGCTTCTTAACAACCAGCATATTTTTGCCATGTGACCTCAAAAATTAACTTAAAAAACCACCCTGGGTGTGTTTTTGGAGCATTTTCCATTTACGTAAATGGAAGGAGCATTTTTAGAGCACTTTTGAAAAGTGCACCAAAGATGCAGCATGCAGGACTTTTCAGACCACAGGGCGACCATGTGAAAAGTAATAACGGATTTAAAGGGAATCATTTGGGTGCACTTTTCACATTGGAAAGGTGTATTTTAGAGCAACAAAAGCACATCAGTGTGAAAGCGCCCTAAGGAAAAAAAATTGCACAGCATCCAGGAACAGGGGAGTATAAAATATATATTGTTGTGAACTGGAGTTCTGCTTTAAGTCATAATAAATTTCCAAGTACAATATAGTATGTTCTCTACACAATTTCTTTTATCTGGCATATTTTGCTAATGTAATCTTTTGCCAATATGTCAATTATAGAGGAGCTAAATATCATGACAGTGGCTTAATTATGTGATACAAGACAACAGCAATGGAACAAGTATGAGAGCTTACCTATGTTAGGGTGATTTAGAACCTTCATAATTCGCACTTCTCTGAAGAGCTGTTGGAAGAAATTAAGAATATTTTAGGATAACACTGCATACAATGTTACTTGCAACGTAGAGCTGTTTTCAAAGCCCCGAGTCACAACTTTATTGCATCTACTCTGTATAAAAATGTGCTTGTAGAGTTACAAAAAATCTATAAATAAAAATAAATGAGAACTATGCATTTCAACATAACTGTTTATAAAGTACCCAAAGATTTACCACAGTTAAACGTCTAAGACCCCGTTCACATGGGCATTCAGTCTAGATCGGTCAATTTTTCAAATGGATACAGACTGAACCACAATGTATGTCTAAGGGTGGGAGCATTCTTTTCCGTTTAGATGGATCTAAATGGATGCCTTCTGTTTGCATCAATTCTGTTTTTGTCCATTTGTGGGCAAAAAAATGTTTTGGTTTATACTGTTGTCCCCGGATTGGTCTCTGCAACAACTATGCAAAAATGTACATTGATGTAAACTGAACTGATATAAACTGATGTAAAATGAACTGAACAGAAGACAGATGTGCAAACTGATGTAAACTGAATCAATTTTTTCTTGGAAAAATAGTGACTGAACAGACGATGCATCAAGTGATTTAGGCTTCAATTCAAAACTGCATACAAGCCATTGGTGAAAGAAGAGGACTTGAACTGCGAATGATCTTATCTGAGTTAACCAAACTATAGGTATTTTGTTTGTACTCTGGTAATTTCTTTATACCACAAATATCTGAAGAACATCACAAGTCTTCCCTGTATAAAGCCTAATGTCCCCACAAAATGGCTCTGCGGCCAGAGACCTCTAAACTCTTCCTCTGAGATCTAAGTCCTCAGACTGTGTGCCTTGCACCCTGGTCTTCATTTAAAGTAGAACTATAGGCAAAACTTTTTTTTTTCCCCCTGTCAGATGTGTCCGATTGTGGAGATTTTCCTTCACTTCCTGTCCCATAGCCAAAAACGGGAAGTGAGAGGAAATCCCTGCAAATTAAGGAAATCCCTTGGGGACCCCTAGGTCACCAGAACTAGTTTCCCCCCATTGGAAGATTTCCCCTTTTACTTTTCTGAGGACAACCCAAAATTAGGGATTTCCTTCTACTTTCAATGATAATGGTAAACAGGACAAATAGAGAGGGAGAATCTCCTTATTGCACAGACAATAAAACCTGACAGGTGTTCCAATCCTTCTGCACGCTATACAAACTTTTAAAAAAGTTTTGTCTTTAGTTATACTTTAATTGTCGTAGAATTTGGAAAGTTTGTTTGCCTGTTGCATAATAAATGTGTGATCACAAATCTGTCCATTAGGCAGAAATCTGTACGTACTACTATCTTCATTAACAGGGGCATTTGATTTGCATGACTGCTGAACTGTGTTCTTAAAGTGGTTCTAAACTCATTATCTAAATTAAGGTAAAAACCTTCTACTACCTGTTCCCCCTGCTGGACAGGGCTTCCATCCTGGCACATGGTACAGAGCTCTGAAAGACAGAACAGGCGTGCCATCCCTTCGGAGCGCATGTGTCGGTGACACCATCAGCTGCATGCAGTGTGAATTTCTCCTAAACAGAGAGAAATTCACTCTACCTACAGGTAAGCCTTATTATACACTTACTTGTAGGTACAAGTTGAAAAAAAAAAAGAAAAAAAAAAGACTTTACTTCCACTTTAAAGGGCCTGTGTCTGAGATTTGCTGGCACTGGGGGAGCATCAGTACGAGACACTTCTAAGGTCATTCAAAATTCATTCACAAGTGCATTTGACCTTCAGTTTACCTGCTTCTGACATGCATTTAAAATCTCTCAAGAGAGTTCTATAGTCCCATAAATTTGCATTGAAACGCAAAACCAGTTTAAAGTGAAAAAAAAAGCACATCAACAATGCCCCTTAGGTAATTTTTTATCTTTGAATCATGTGGAGAGGGATTAAAACTCCTGTTTTTATTGCTGTCTGTATCCCCGTTAAGGAGAGTCACCCTCTAGATTTGCTCTGTTTACCATTATCATTGAAAAGTAAAAAAAAAGAAAATTCCAAATTTTGGGTTGTTCCCAGAAAAGTAAGAGGGGAAATCTTCCAATGGGGAAACTAGTCCTGGGGTCCCCAAGGGCATCCCTTAATTTGAAGGGGCTTTCTCTCACTTCCTGTTTTGCTATGGGACAAGAAGTGAAGAGAAATCTTCGAAATGGGAAAGATGGCGAATAAAAATTAACAGGGGCTATAACCCTCGCTATATCCAAAAGGAGAAGAAAAAAAAAAAAAAGTTTAGCCTGTAGTTCTACTTTAGTGATGCCTTAGTTGTCAAGTGAAAAATAGACTTTTGAAATTCTTATGTATTTGAAGGCCAAGCGACTAATAAAAGTCTGATCAAACTTTTTTCTTAAATTCTACAGGAAATGCAAATTTATTTTGGTCATAGTTCTCCTGTGGTCACAGGAGTTCACTTACTTCAGCACTCCTGTGACCCAGATTCAGTCGGCTGACATCACTGAGCTGGCCCAGGCTCTGCAGGGTTCCCTACATTAATATATCAGGATCCGCCCAGGTGCCTGACCGGCAGCTGGCTCAACCTCTCAGGGTGTGACCCCCTTCACAGCCCAGCACTCCAGTGAGGACTGGAGTGGCAGAGCAGAGAGCTGGTGACTGACAGTCATTCTCTGCTCACTGAAGACCAAGAACTGAACAATTAGCAGTCATGTGATTGCTCAGTTTTTGGTCTTAGAGCTAACGGGGGACAGCTGTAGCATCATACAGATGCTGCAGCCATTTAGGCATGTATAAATACATGTTTTTTTTTCATTCCAGCACTTATCTTAACCTGCCTGTGTTAGATATACAAGTAGTTAGTAGCTTTTTACATTTATTTTTTTTAATTAAATCTTACAATAAACTAATGCAGTTTTTATAAAACATGGAGTATTTCACACATCACACATTAAGTTGCTATTTTTTTTTTCTTCTTACCTTCTGCAAACTGGAAGAATTCAGCTGTGTTTTGTCTATAATTTTTACAGCTACCTGAAAAATAAAATTTTTGTGCTAGGTTACAATCATTGCTAGCTTGCATCACAGAGTGCAAAAAAAGTTTAAAAAGTTATATCATGTATTACATTTTTCATGTTCACTCCCATCAAACTTCAAGTGTAAATATGTATTCTGAACAATTCAGATCAGGTAACAGATGGCTGTGCATTATACTTTATTAGGCCCTTTTCATAATGACATGAGGGCAAGGTAAAGGCAGGCAATTGAGGCATGCTTTTAAATTAGTCTCATTTACCTGCAAAACCCAGAAACGGCTGCTGGACAGCCCCATCTACACTGTTGGAACCATGACATGTGCTTTGTGGTGCAGCAGCAAAGAAATAAAAAAAACCCACTAGGGCATGTTGTGTTTGGCAAACAATCCTGCCCTCCAACACACCCTATTAAAGTGTATGGGGCCACACTGCAACTGCATTCATATGGCACAACAGTGGCACTGTGGAAAAGGATTTCACTGGGAAATCCTTCTTCGAACAGGTATGTGGGAGGCATCATATCACCTTCTAAATGTGGCCCCATTGACTGCTGACATAGCAAACCACCATGGATCTTGAGTCAGTAGCTATGTCTATCTGAAAGGGGCTTTAAGCTATCAAGGCACAAAAGTGTTAGAAAGGTATACTTTTAGATTTAAATGTGCATTTATTTGTTTTTAAAGCTAATGTTCCACAAGCGACTACCACTAGCAACAAATCGCTAGTGGCCGATCACTAATATTCCACCTGCCTGTCCCTATAGATTCGCTCCCTTGTTAGCAAAGGCAGCAAAAGGTCGCTCCAATCGCAAGCGATTGAGATTCAGTAGCATTCGTGGCCAACGAGGGAACAATTAACTATAAATAAGTGGAAGGCACTCTGCCACTGGCAATTTTTCACTAGTGGCACAGTTGCCCGTTTGACATCAGCAAGTGTGGCATGTCATAAAAGGAACCGATGCAGTTGACTTGAATGAGGTCTTCAAAACAACACTTTAAAAAACGCAGCACGTCACATATGCAGTACACCACAGGTATGAGAAAAAGCTCCATTTGAATGAGTCTGTTTCTGCATTCATTCTACAACTGCACACAATAGATGATTAAGGCATTCACAATCATGATGAAAAAACAAGAAAAAGGTAAGGAAAAGTAGGGCCAAAGCCCTTTCTATAGTGGGTCACAGGAGTGCACTTATTTCTGCACTCCTGTGACCCAGACTAAATGTCACTGCTCAGAGCAGACCTCTAAACTGATCGATTAGTGGTCTTTGATTGTTCAGTTCTTAGTGTAAAGCTGGCAGGTAACTGTGATTGGTGCTCCAGCCATCTAAGTAAATATTAATTTTTGTGTGAACAATCATTGGGAGAAAAAAAAAAAAAAAAAAAGCAAAAAACACTAATTTTTATTAGTTTATAAGTCCTTGTTCACACTTAACATGCAGAGGCAGAAATACACTGTAAAGAGTTGGGGGGTGGGGATGACATCAACACAAGTATGACCACTGAAGTGTATGCAGGCTGTGTTCCCATGTAGAATGCAAAGAAGCAAACTGACCACGCTCGAATGGATGTGCTTCCTTGCTCTGGTGTGGTCCATTTGAAACAGGAAAGCAAGGGGACTGGCAGGATCACAAAGGTATTTTACACAAAGCAAGCAAAGAGAACAGGGTACTTTATTATAAGTACAGAATAACAGACATATGGGAAATATGAAATGTTGGGCTAAGGGGGGCTTGATTTAGAAAAGAGACCATACACTTAGCAAAGTGAATGCTCATTATGGCAAATATATGATTACTTTGTAAAGTGAATCTCCAACTTAGTTTTGGCATTAGCTATACCGAAGTTTTTAATGTAGAACTAAAAAAAATCAAAAAAAAAAAAATGCAAATTCTGCTGCAGGGGAAAAAAAATAATTTATATTTTTTTAAATATATGTCATGCTAACTTCTTTATTGATTTATTGTTGAATTCTACAAAAGTTAGTGCCGGTTCACACTGCTGCTCTGTGATTTGGCCGCAACACAGATGTATCAGTGGTTTCTAGGCATTTTACATGCAGTCCCATAGACCATTACACAGCGCATTTTGCTGCATTTTCTGAAAGCACACCAATGATGCAAAATGCTGAACTTTTGGTGCACTCAGAAAATGCAGCAAAAATGCACAAATCTAATAGAAGTTTATGGAACTGTAGCGAACACCATGTGTAAAAAGAATTTCTAAGTGTATACGACATGATATGAGCACATATGTTTTGTACATTTCTTTTTATAACTTTATTATGTTGCAACTATAAGGTAAGACCCCCGCCAACCAATCTGCCTACACAAATAATCAAGTGAACTCTGCGCTTGCATGGATTTCCTCAAGGTACTCCATTTTCCTCCCACACTTCAAATACATGCTAGTAGGTAATTGGCTCTGGTCTAAATTGGTCTTGTGTGTATGTATGAATGTGAGTTAGGGACCTTAGAGTGTAAGCTACTTAAGAGCAGGGACTGATGTGAATGTATAATATTTGAAATGCACTACAGAAATCGATGGTGCATCTTAAATAACTTAAGTATTAAAAACAAATCCATGCCTTTTGGAAAAATTCTCACCTCTTTTCCAGTTAAAACATGCCGTGCTAGTTTAACCTTGGCAAAATTGCCCTTGCCGATAGTTTTGAGGAGACGATAGTTCCCAATATGTGGCTGCTCATCTGCTGAAGTTGGTATCGAAGGGCGACATCTCAGCATATTGGGCTTGCTGTTACCACTGCTAGTCTTTGAGTCCGTGTGACCCACTGCAGGCTGCAGAGAAAGAGAAGAAATGATTATTGCAATGTTAATTGCAACCTACATCGACTAATTACATATATCTTAGATCAACATTTTAAACCAGTGGGTCAAAGTAAATATCACATCTTGCATGGCCTCTAGTCAACACTCCAAAAAAAGTAAAATAAGAGAAAGCTAAAAGCGTCAGTCACTGTGAAGCTGCAATGGCATGAAATTTGCTCAGTGGGGCAAAAAATAAAAAATAAATAAAATCATAATAATATATACATCTAAAAAAAAAAAAAAAATAGCAATGTGGAATTGAACCTTGCTAAATGTTTTCTACTATAGGCCCAAAGCTTTATGTAACTTTCTTCTCCCTGACGCATCTAAAAAGGCAAAGCCAGGTAAATAGCTCACTACTTTACGATTCATAAATAAAGTGTGTTCGTATAACAAATGGTTTAGGACTGTCTTTTTATCATGGTATTGCTCATCAGCATTTATTACATTTGGCAGACAACCAGACAAAACACTGGTTATACAGACATATTTATCAGCCACAGACAACATATTCTGGCTAAAATGTGTGGTTAAACACGCAAATAATCATTAGGGTGCTTCCTATAAATACCTTTACCAATTACTGTGAGGAAAACTTCCAAACACTTGGCCTGTTATTCACAACACCTAAGCACAAATCCCTAATCTTTGTACCTACTCAAAGACACTGGAAACCAAATAGTTTATAAAACAAACAAAAAACAAAACAAACAAGCAGACCTAAACAATGAAAGAGTAACAACTGCTATACCCAGTGAAACCACTGACAATCCAATATAAGTGAACACTACAGACTGATACACGGGGTACATTATTGTTAGCTGTATGAACCAAAATCAAGCATTTTTCTTTCCAGTTTCGGTTAGCCTGGGGAAAGGCTGAAACTCCTGATAGGCTTTTATTGCTGTCTGTGTCCTAGTTTGGTTGGTTATTCTCACGTTTTATCTTGGTAAATGGTATCACTGGGGTTAAAAAAAAGTTAAAGGAAATATAAAATTGTACAGTTCACACTGGAACAATAGGTGTGAGGAGACGCCCAGTGACAGCTGACAAAGGTGTTTCTTCTTTCCTTACTGTGATGCAAGGAAAGGAAGTCTAAAGAAATCTCCCCAAAGGAAACACATACAGCAATAAATAAGGCAAGTAAAAACATGCACAGCCTTTCATCTGAACCATAAGCTGGCTATAAACTAGTAGGCATTTGATCAAACTTTCCCATAGATATTTGTACAAACATTTGTACAACAATTCTGATCAGTACTGTTCAATGACCTGACAAATGACATTCAAAAGTGTTTTTTTAAATTGCTTTTAACATTTGATTTTGGCGTGAACGGACTTTCACGAACAAAAACCACATTAACTGTAGAAATGAATTTGAGAAAAAGTTTTCATCCTTCTTTGAATTTTCTTCTCACTGGGGTCGAACATGTTAATTTGACCCCGCTAATGAATAGAAAATTGAATATTCTTAGAACACAAAAAAAAACCTTTATAATGATATTCTACTAGTATATGGCCAGCTTTACTGAGCACAATTAATTATATTCTCCACCACAAAATATACCAGTGAAAGTGGAGCAGTGTTAATATAAAAGGTAAATGCATGATGTATTTGTAGTGAGCATAGTAGCATTTGTAGCGAGTCATAACAATTTTTCACCCTAACCCCTTACATCCCTGGTGCCCAACCTGGGCCCTTTGATATATGATGTGCAGCCCTTGGACTTTAGTGATCTGTAATGGGAACATTGATTAGGGTAATAGCATTGATCTCTACTAGCCTCATGTAACATGTTCCCAGTTTCATATTGTCTTCTGCAGCATATCCCCAGCCAAGAATGTAGCATTTCCACACTCTCTGACCACAATTTCCTCTATTAGCGCTGCAGTTTTTTTTACAGTCCTCTCAAGCATTACATATACTGAAAATTAAGTGTGGCCATTTGGAGATGACAGGGGCCATATTTGAGGCTCCCTTTAGCTCATAGGTGACAACCAATGACTTAGCATGAGGAACTATGATTGAGAATTGTAATCCATCAGTTGTCTAAGAGATCATTTCCAGTCTGGTTCCCAATCATGTAATGACAGCTAAGCTTGGTGTAAGTAAATATATTATTTATGAACAAACCTGCAGGCAGAATCTACTACTGTGTGTAAGTCCCTATTCAGGCCTAAGTGTTCTGGCACGCTATTACTGAAGCACGACAATGCTCAAGATGAAGAATTCCATTATTTCCTATGGGCCTGGTTCACACCTGAGTGTTGTGTTACTTGTCTGTTCTATATAGCTCCAAAAAACTTCTTTGGAGCAAAATTGCACATTTGTGGCCCCATGGACTTTAATAGGAATGAGAGCACATGAAAAGCGTGTGTTTATGTGAGGTTTTTTTTTTTTTTTCGCATTATGTCTTTATTCAGCTTTTACTTTTACGTGTTTTTAAGGTGTTTCCATTTAAATGTCTGACACCAAAAATATACAATTCTGCTCCTGTAGTACAAGTTGCGTCTACAAAAAAAAAAAAAAAACAAAAAAGCCTCTAAATCGCCTAGCAATGCTTGTGTGAATGGAGGTTACGTTGTTTATAAAAACACATTGAACAAATGGTCAAGTGTAAAATAGCCAAATTTTAATTTTTTTTTAACATACTTGTTAATTTCTTATCCTCTAAAAAAAAAAAAAAAAAAAAAAATAGAAAAGGTGAAATCAGTCATAGATTTAGTTAGTTACTGTACATGTATAGTGTGTGTGTATATATATATATATATATATATATATATATATATATATACATATATATATATATATATACACACACACACATACACATACATATATATATATATATATATACACACACACACACACACACACACACACACACACACACACACACTTTTACAAACTTGCTCTTCCATATTGTTCTTGCTGTTTTAAAACAGAGATTTGTAGATGATTAACCACTAAAAAGGGAATAATCCTACATCTCCCAACATCTGATACAGACATCAGCAACAAAGGGATTTGCATGCTAGTCTCATATCAAAAATAAAATCGGTTAGTAAAATCATAAAAAGTCTCGTAAAACAGAATACAACTTCCTGTGAAGAGGTATTTTATTGTAATGTATTCTTTAATTTCTGATCATGCATGGTCTTGGCCACTCGATTTTTTAAGAATACTGTACTGATTAAATGAAAACAATTTGTTCTTTTATCATACGAGAACATTTTTGTGCTTGTCCCTTCGGATAATTTCGCAAGAAATGTCATGATCGACTCTCAAAAGTTGTGTACTAACGTTCAGATTATCGGACGATCGCTGCAAAAGCAGTATTTTACATTCAGTTTTTTCATCGTGTGTACTAGACAGTCATTCAACCCAGAGTTAGGCCCTGTGCTCTCTACATGTTTAACCACAATACATGGACCTCTGGTATTTAGCGGTGGGTGTGGAGGGCACAGGTGTCCCATCCCGCCCTGCTGTCAGCAGTTTGTCAAACTCCATGAGAAGCTGAAAGCTCCTTAGCAGGATATGGCTAGGTGGTGCACCTAGCCGTATGAACATTTAATATGGGAGCCAAGGGACGAACCCCCGAACGCAAGAAGTCTGTGTTCTAGGCACTCATCCTTGGGCTAAATGTTCTATATGTTCATACTACTAGGTGCATCTACCAGGTCTGTCATCCTCTTAAGGGTACTTGCACACAGTACTGATGTACAAACATAAGACATTCCTGGCAGGGAAAAGAAAAAAAGGGTGGGCTGTATAGCACTTGCATGTATATGTTTGTATTTGCACATATGTGTGCACATACGAAAAAATTCCTCTAGCTTTCTTTCAATCAAGAAGGTGTGCCATACACACGTATTGGTGTGCAAAAATACTGACCAAGCAAGGCAGATTTTTAGTTGTTTTTTTTAGAATGATCCATACGCAGCACATGTTTTACGCACCTGTGTGTACTGGCTAATTGAAAACAAAGGTCTGCATTTACATCAGGAAACAAAATGATCTACAGTCAGGTCCATAAATATTGGGACATCGACACACTTCTAACATTTTTGGCTCTATACACCACCACAATGGATTTGAAATGAAACGAACAAGATGTGTTTTAACTGCAGACTGTCAGGTTTAATTTGAGGGTATTTACATCCAAATCAGATGAATGGTGTAGGAATTACAACAGTTTGCATATGTGCCTCCCACTTCTTAAGGGACCAAAAGTAATGGGACAATTGTCTTCTCATCTGTTCCATGGCCAGGTGTGTGTTATTCCCTCATTATCCCAATTACAATGAGCAGATAAAAGGTCCAGAGTTCATTTCAAGTGTGCTATTTGCATTTGGAATCTGTTGCAGTCAACTCTCAAGACGAGATCCAAAGAGCTGTCACTATCAGTAAAGCAAGCCATCATTAGGCTGAAAAAACAAAACAAACCCATCAGAGATAGCAAAAACATTAGGTGTGGCCAAAACAACTGTTTGGAACATTCTTAAAAAGAAGGAACGCATCGGTGAGCTCAGCAACACCAAAAGACCCAGAAGACCACTGAAAACAACTCTGGTGGATGACCTAAGAATTCTTTCCCTGGTGAAGAAAACACCCTTCACAACAGTTGGCCAGATCAAGAACACCCTCCGGGAGGTAGGTGTATGTGTGTCAAAGTCAACAATCAAGAGAAGACTTCACCAGAGTGAATACAGAGGGTTCACCACAAGATGTAAACCATTGGTGAGCCTCAAAAACAGGAAGGCCAGATTAGAGTTTGCCAAACGACATCTAAAAGAGCCTTCACAGTTCTGGAACAACATCCTATGGACAGATGAAACCAAGATCAACTTGTACCAGAGTGATGGGAAGAGAAGAGTATGGAGAAGGAAAGGAACTGCTCATGATCCTAAGCATACCACCTCATCAGTGAAGCATGGTGGTGGTAGTGTCATGACGTGGGCATGTATGGCTGCCAATGGAA